CCCTTCGCCCGAGAAGATTTTGGTAAGATAACAACCTAAGAATAAAGAGGGAGTCCACACGACCGCAGACGCAGTGCGGGGCAACTTGAGGGATCCACGAACACGGTATGGAACTCGAGGCACACATGTTCTTCTGACGTGCGTGCAACATTTTCCCTAGGCTTGGAGGAAGCCACCACCTCCTGCACGTCGTGCGTATCCTCCTCCTCCTCCTCCTCCTCCTCCTCCTCCTCCTCCTCCTCCTCCTCCTCCTCCTCCTGCTCCGCCCTCCTGCTCCTCCTCCTCCTCCTCCTCTCCCTCCTCCTCCTCCTCCTCCTCCTCCTCCTCCTCCTCCTCCTCCTCCTCCTCCTCCTCCTCCTCATCATCATCATCATCATCATCATCATTCCTCCTCCCCCTCCTCCTCCTCATCGCTCCTCCCCCTTCCTCTTTCTTCCTCCGCCCAAGTTGGGTCCCGCCTTAGGGGTCGTGGACATGCGAGAACGCCTGCCCCGCGCTCACTCGCCAAGCGCATGTTGAGACCCCCTCTCCGCGCACGCATTGTCATGTGTAGAGAGCCCGACGCGCCCAAGTTGGGCCCCCCCTTAGGGGCCGTGGACACGTGACTGCGAGTGCCCCGCGCGCACGCGCCGGGCGCACCTTTCCCCTCCCGTCCGCGCACGTGCTGTCACGGCTAGAGAGTCCGACGCGCCCAGGTTGGGCCACCCCATCGGGGGCCGTGGACGCGTGAGAACGCGTGTTCCGCGCGGTCGCGCCAGGCGAATGTTGGGGCCCTCCCCCAGCTCCGCGCACGCACTCTCACTTGTTAGAGAATCCTGCGCGCCCAAGTTGGGTCCCCCTCGGGGGGGCTTTGGACACGTGATAACACGAACCCCGCGCGCACGCGCCAGGCGCATGCTGGGTCCCCCAGCTCCGCGCACGCATCTTCGCGTGTAGACAGTCCGACGCGCGCGAGATGGGTCTCCCCTGTGGGGGCTGTGGACACGTGACAAACACCCCCCCGGTCCGCGCACGTGTCCTCACGTGCAGAGAATCCGACGCGCCCAAGTTGAGTCTTCCTTTGGGGGCCGTGGACACGCGACAACGCGTGCCCCGCGCGCGCGCGCGCCAGGCGCATGTTGGGCCCCCGCCCCGCGCACGCATTTTCACGCGTAGGGAGTCCGACGCGCCCAGGTTGGGTCCCCCCCCCCTCGGAGGCCGTGGACACGTGAAGACACGCGCCCCGCGCGCACGCGCCTCGGCTCCCCCCCCCCTGCGCACGCGCACGCATTCTCACGTGCGCAGAACCCGCCGGCGCCCAAGTTGGGTCTGGAGGGCCGTGGCCACGTGAAAACACGTGCCCCGATCCCACGCGCCTTGGTCCCCCCCCCCTTTCCGCGCGCGTACTTTCACGCGCGAAGAACCCGCCGCGCCCAAGTTGGGTCTGGAAGGCCGTGGCCACGTGAAAACGCGTGCCCCGATCCCACGCTCCTTGGTTTGGTTCGGATCAACGTCCCGTGCAGTTCTGGTTTCCTGTGTTGTTTTTAGTTTCCTGGTGTTTTGTTCCGTGCTTTTTGAGACTCTTAGGGCGTCAGAAGTCTATGGCGGTTTTTCAGCGATTTTCTGTGATGTTTGGGTCCCCCCCCCCTTTCCGCGCACGCATTCTCACGTGCGAAGAACCCGCCGCGCCCAAGGTTGGGTCCGCCGCTGGCGGCCCCGTCGTGGCCAGAGACACGCGAGTGCCGAACGCACGCGTGCCGAGACTCCGGTTGGAGACCCCCCCCCCTCCGCACACGTACTTCTACACGGCGTTCAGTTCTAATTCTTCGAGAGTTCTTTGAATTTTTAGGGGGGCCAGGATCCCTTCACTTCTAATTCTTCTATCCTGGGCCTCTTCCGGGCCACTGGGGGGCCAGGAACACTTAGAAACGAGCGCAATTAGAAATGAGCACGATTAGAAATGAACAACGTGTACGTGTCCAGTTCCGACGCATTCTGCTCGACACCCGTCTGGTGGAGGGCTCTTTGGCCTGCAGACGAAGGGAGAGAGCCCTCGGCCGGAGCTCTTGCCGGGAAGGGCGGGAGAGAGACCACGGGCCCCGAGCCAGCGGGGTTTCTTGCCCCCAGGGGAGCGCGCACTTGCCGTGAAAAGCAAGACAGAGGACCTTTTCCAGACAGACGATTTTGAGCAAAATTGTATGCAGGGACCGCACGGACAAGCTCGAAGGAAACTGCTCCAGGTAAGGAGGGCCCTCTCCAAACAAGCGATTCGGGGCAGAAGGCAGAGACTGCACGGAGAAGCTCGATGTGTACAGTTCCGCATTGAAGAGCGCGGCATGTTGTGCATATATATATATATACACATATACATATACATATACATATACATATGTACACATATATATATATATATATGTACGGTGGACCATACGGGAGACCGTGCGCGAGGCCATACGGGAGACCATGCGCGAGACTCGATTGGATACCATATGGGAGACCATACGGGAGACCAGACTGGAGACCGTGGGCGAGGCCATGCGGAAGACCAGACGGCAGACCATACAGGAGACCAGACTTGAGAGTATAACGGGAGGCCATGCGCGAGACCAAGCGCTAGACTGCACGGGAGACCGTGTGCGAGACGATTGCCGGGACCAGACGCGAGACCACACGGTCATCACTGTCGGTTGTGATGTTGAATTGTATCACCCGCGTCCCGTCTGTAGATTACTGTCCTGGCGAAGGACCCCGACCATTTGCAAGTACCAGCACCGCAAAGCAGGTGGGACGAAGGAGAGGGGCTCGCTATGATGAGGCCACGAAAAGTGCGAGGGGTGTGCCGAAATGGGCGGGGGGACCGCATGCGATCTCCCCCCCCCCTGGGGCCTTCAGTGGAGCTCCAAGTGGGGCCACGAAGGGTGTGCCGAAATGGGCTGGGGGACCGCATGTGAACGCACATTTGGAGGCTTCTGTGGAGCTCCCGACTTCGAAACGTGTGAGCGTGTGCCGAAATGAGCTGAGGGACCGCATGTGACCACCCCCTGGGGCCTTCGGTGGAGCTTCCTCTGGGGCCACGAAACGCGTGGGGCGTGTACGGACATGGTCTGGGGGACCGCATATGGTCCCCCCTCTGAGGGCTTGGGTGGAGCTCCGTTTGGGGCCACGAATTGTGTAAGGGGTGTGCGCCGAAATTGGCATGCGGATGGCAGAGGCAAGGGTGGGGGAAGGGAGGAGGAGGAGGTTGAGGAGGAGGAGGAGGAGAAGGGGAGAAGGGGAGAAGAGGAGAAGAGGAGGAGAGGAGGAGAGGAGAGGAGAGGAGAGGAGAGGAGAGGAGAGGAGAGGAGAGGAGAGGAGAGGAGAGGAGAGGAGAGGAGAGGAGACGCGGGTCGCTGTCTCGCCAAAACGAGGACCCAACAACACAGGATGGTTTGGGGAAAAACTTGGAGGCCATACAAATGACCATACGGGAAATCACACGGGAGTCCCCACTGGGCCACGGGCGACTAATTCCGCATCCAGATTCGCCCAAACCCGGCCTGAGAATGGATATACAGGATTTTCACCGACTAGTTGTTTGGGCATCAGCGGAGGCGACAAATGTTCGGATTTCATTAGCTCCTAAAAGCGTTTGCGGTGCTGGGCCTATCTCGGAGCATGCCAGTGCCCAAACGGAGTCTTTACCTAGTGGTGGCAATGCTAACCGTTGTCGTGCGCGTGGCAGCGACTGCATACGGCCGGGAACGTTTGGATACCGTGTCGCTCCGTTTGTTCTGGCCTACCATGCATCCGCACGACACTCTATCCACTTGGAGCGGAGCAACTCGCGATCCGCTTGCAAGACATAGCGTGTCGCCGGGGCCGCCGGGGCGACACGCCGAGCAAAGCTCCCGACCGTAGCATGCGTCCTGATGAGACACGCACCGCATGTCAGCTGCGCGGCCAACCCAAGCATGAGGCAACGTGTTGCGGTCGATGGCAAGAAGCAGAGAATGGGCAGGCGCAAATGAGGTATGGTAGTGGTCAGCAAGAGCGTTGCTCACTCGACCATACGGTAGGCGAGCTGTACTTGATTCCCCAAACAAACTTGCAGCTGACCCGACAGGCGTGCCGTGCCTTGCAGTCTTTGAAGGTCCTTCGCAAGAAGGATGGCAGGTTACAAGCAGGACGTCTTACCTTGGTCATCCCGTGCTTGTCTCGTTGGTTAGTTGTTGTTTGGTTAGTTGTTGTTTGGTTTCTGTTCGATCGATCCAGTCGGGTGTAGTTCATGTTGTGGCATTTAGTTTTGGGCTGTTCATTGGCAGTTCGGTTCGTGATATCATACGCTGCCGTGCGTGCTTCACTACTCTGCATTTGTAAGCGCTAGATCGCAGTGGATAGGTTTAGTTGTTTTTCAAATTCCTCGGAGTGTGGCTGGGTTTTCTCGCATCGCATTGCAAATCCCGAAGTTGCCATACAGATAATACAGCTCTTGTCAGTGCGTCCATATACCGAAGCGAGTGTACTCGAAGCTTGCTGGTTGAAGATAAGGATAGCACTTGTAGACACCCAGCGCTCATTATGATTCCTCTTCCACCTCACCCAAGCGTTGCGTGTTCCATGGAGCAGGGGACTCCGAACATGCTGTCGATGGATGCATACCGTTGGCGCTGGTAACGCTTCCCAAATCAGGGAAGGAATGCCAGGTGCTGCAGGCTCGCGTGCACTCTCTGCTCGGCGGCGCGCCTGGGGGAGAAGAGAGAAGGAGCAGGCCTTCTCAGAAGGCGGCGGGGCTTCTCAGAAGCTCTCCAGCCCTCTGAGAAGTTTCCTCTGTCATCTGGGAAGGCTTCGAAGACTTCTCAGAAGGCCCGAGGCCTTCCGAGCCTTCCGAGAAGGCCCGCCCCCTCTCACTTCCCCCCGAGCGCGCCGCCGAGTCAGGGAAGCAATGCCAGTTGTTGCAGGCTCGCATGCACGCTCTGCGGCTTCCGCTCGCGGTAGCAAAGTGTGTTCCGCCGAATTGGGAGGGGGCATTCTGGGTGCGCCAGGCTCGGCGGAAGAGTTCCTGGCTGCTGGCGACTCCGTACTTCACAGGCCCCGCGCTCTTTCCAATGCAGAATGGGTCCAATCGGCTCCGCGTAAGAGTGACCTTTCGCTGGAGTGACCTTTGACGCGGGCTCAAAGGGGTCCCCAGATGGCTAAATGCAATGCGATAGCAGCGGCTTACGCGCTCCGATTCGGCCTCCGCGAGGCCCCCTGAAGCCGCGAACCAAAGGTCACTCCTGCCTGGGATCATTCTTGCGTGTAGCCGGTCAAAGGATGATGGTTTGAAGTGCAAGTACGGTAGATTCGCGTCGTGTCGACCGGCGGCGACCCCGCCGCTGGAATTCGGCGTGAAACGCAGCTGGCGACCCAGAATCGGTCGATGCTGGACGATCTGATGTTTCGAAAACGGCCGATCGTTCAAGGTTGAAGGATCCCCGCGGTGTCAGAAACCAATGCCGAAGTCAGCACGACACGAACTTGCCGTAGTGATTATGGGATTGAGCATGCGATCAAGGAGTCGGACGTTAGTAAACTCAATACTTCCGTCTACAATTGTGACCATGCGTGGTCCAGCTCTTCGTCGGACATTCAGACAACACGTGTTGTTGTGGGGCATACGTTTTAAAATGTATGCTTATAGGTTCAAGAGGCTTACGTCATTCCGCCGACCCCCAGATGTGGAGATGTCTGTTTTCCGATGTCTCATGTGTTATTTGCTGCGTCCTGTCGTGCTGCCTGCGTGTAGGTGTTTCTGGTTTGTCCGCCTGCTCCTCCACGTCTGTTGCGGGGCTTCTTGTAGGCCGTTTAAGGCCTCGGGGACGGCCTCTTGGGAGCCTTTTCAAGGCTCCTCGGTGCTTTGGGGAGCCCCCTGAGGGCTTCTTGGGGATCTCGTGGGGACATGTTAGGCATCTTGGGTGCCATCTTGTGGGGGAGGGCTCACGGACCCCCTGCGAGTTCCCCCTCTTGGACTTCTCCGACCCCTCTTAGGAGCTCTCTTCAGGGCCGTTTTGCTTGTATCGGAGGCCTTTGGGGTAGTCTTGGGGCCATGTTGGGCCATCTCCGGGCCCTCTTGGGGGCGTTCTCGGCCGTCTTGGGCTAATCCAGGGCACTTCTCGAGCCGTCTCGGGATTGGGAACCCCAAGATATTGCCATAGCCTCCAGCTAGTGCCGCCGATCTGGGGCGCTCAGGATGATGATGAGGAGGAGGAGGAGGAGGAGGAGGAGGAGGAGGAGGAGGCCCTAATATTTTTTGGCTTTGAGCTACACGCGGGGCTGCATCGGGGGGGGGCTGGCACCGAGCCCCCGGTGCCGGCACACGGAGGGGAGGCCAACACCGGGCCCCGGGTGCGGCACCGGGGGGGAGGCGCGGCGGCACCGGAAGGGGGGGGGGGTGCGGCACCAGAGGGGGGCTGGCACGGGGAGGGGGGTGCGGGCACCAGGGAGGGTGCCGGCACGGGGGGGGCCCGGCACCGGGAGAGGGGAACGGCACCAGGGCGCCGGCGTCGGCACCTGGGGGGGGAGCCTGCACCAGGAGTTGGCGGGAGGGAGCACGGGAGGGGGGGGGCAGCACTGGATGGGGGTGCCAGCACCGGGGGGGGGGTCCAGCACCGGGAGAGGTGCTGGCACCAGGAGGGGGGTCCGGCACCAGGGGGTGTGCGGCCGGCCGGCAATTGGGGGGGACCCGCACCGGGGGGCGGGTGTCGGCACCAGGCAGGGGGAGGGGGGGCGTCACCGTGGCGGGGTGCATCGGGGGGGAGGGGCCGGCACCGGAGGGGGGGGCCGGCACCGAGGAGGGCGCTGCATGGCACCAGGAGGGGGGTGCCGGCACCGGAAGGGGGTCCGGCACGGGAGGCATCGAAGGGGGGCCAGCAGCGGAGGGGGGGGACCGACGCCATGGGGAGGGGTAGCATGCCAGCACCGAGGGGGCCGGCACTGGGGGGGGGGGGACCAGCACCAGGGGCGGCATGCACCGGTGGGGGGGGCAGCGGGAGGGGGAGGCTGAAGAGACCCCTTCCTTATTTGCGCTCAATGAAAAAGGTCGGAAATTCGCCCCCGAGATATGGAGAGAATCCGAAAGTCATTCAAAGGACGATAAGAACATCCGTGATACTGATGCCTCGTGGCCGACTTGTGGGTCTTCTTGGGCCCAGGGCCTCTTGGGCCGTCCTGGGGCCCTCGTGGATGGCCCGGAGGCCTCTCCAGCGCGCTGGAGCCCTTCTTGAGCCATCTTGGACGACAGTTTGGGCATCTCGAGGGGCGAGGGCCAGGGAGGTGCGCCGAGGAGCTCGCGGACCCAGCCACTCCCGAGCCCCCACCTCCGGCAGGAGTTCGGACCCCAGAGGAGGAGGAGGAGGAGGAGGAGGAGGAGGAGGAGGAGGAGGAGGAGGAGGAGGACCCCAGGGGACAGCCAAATGCTCCTCACGCCTGGTCACCCCTGGCAAGCGGGGGTCGGCAGATTTTGTGCGGAGTGCTCGCCAGGGATCTTGTGTTGCAGAAGCTGTTTCGCAGAGGGTCGGGACATGGACATGCGATTGCCAACCAGTTGGGCGTTTCCTGGAGCAAGGTCGTGTGATGAGAGCCGGGCTGGCTCAAAGCTAAGTGCACGCAAAGCCGCAAAGCTCACGCGGCTTGCTGCTGCAGCGCGCTAAGAAATGATTCGCTGGCCTGAGCGCGGTGGGTGCAGCACATCGGCGGCCAGCCCAGGGTGGAAGTGAGAGGGGGCGGGCCTTCTCAGACGGCTCGGAGGTCCTCCGGCCTTCCGAGAAGTGTCCGAAGCCTCCCTCCAAGACACGGAGAGCTCCTCGGAAGGCGCGAGGGCCTCTGAGAAGTGTCGCCGCCTGCCGAGGGGGCCTTCTCCCTCTTACTTCCCCCCTCGCTCGCCGAGGGGGCCTTCTCCCTCTCACTTCCCCCCCTCGCTCGCCGAGGGGGCCTTTATCCCTCTCGCTTCCCCCCCTCGCTCGCCGCCGACCGCGGGAGCGCATCGCTCGGCGATCGGAAGCGATCGGAAGCGAGGCCCGCACTCCGGGCTGCCTCGACGCGCCGAGCGCGGGGCGGGGACCTGGCCAGCAGCACCGTCGGGGGGGAGCTTCGGGGATCTCGGCGGGCGGTGGGTGTAGGTATGTTTGCCAGGAGGGGAAAGGAAAATCACAGACACGATGAGTCGTCGAGTGGGGGGGAAGACGAAAATCAAATACATGAATGTATATATGTATACAGTTATATAGATTCATGAATACATATATATATATATAGACACACACACACATGTACATATATATACACATTACAATTATATTTAGATATATGTATGTGTATATATATATATAGGGAGGGGATTGCTGGGATTTGTGTGTATTGATTTGTGTGTCCATGGGCCCCTTCAGTTTGGCCCCCCGAGGGCCGCTCGCCGCCGAGGCGGCTGCGGCACAGTCCGCCTGGCGCCCCCCGGGAGGCGCGTCGGCACGCGGAGCGCCGGGGCCTCCGCCTCCCCTCGGTGCGCACCGGGCCTGCGAGGCGGGCGCGCCCGGATCGGTGCACAGCGCGGCCGCTGCGTCCAGCGCCTTCTCTTTAAGTCGGGCCTGTCCCATCTGCAGGGGGAAGATTCAAAAATGGTACAGAGATAGTCTGAGGACGATGTTTCTACAATTTGGGGACATTTTTGGAGTATGTGTTTTGACTATTGTTAAAAATATGTCGCCCGAAATCCCCCTGCAGGGGGGACAGGCCCGACCCAAGCCTTCTTCTCCTCCGCTGGGGCCTGGCCAGGATCTCTAGGCCTCCCAGATGGGGTCGGAGTAGATGGGGTCGGAGGATCGCGCCGCATCGCCGATGCATCGCCGATGCTGCTCGATGTGCAGCCCGATTTGCTTCACGTCGACGTCGCCGATGCATCGCCGAAGTCTATGATGCGTCACTGGTGCATCGCCGATGCGTCGGCGATGCGGCGCGATCCTCCTACCCCATCTACTCGGACCCCATCGAGGAGGTCTCAGGGATCGAAGAACCAAATTATCCCGGCAAAGCAACCTAACAGCGATGTGTAGGAGCATATCTGGAAGCATTCCCCTTAAGATTCAGATGAGATTCCTGTTGTAGAATTCTGCTGTTCTCGCAGTCGTAGTCGCATTCGCGATGGCAGTCGCAGTGGCAACGGCAGTCGCAGTCACAGCCTCAGCCTTCAGCCTGCCTCAGCCTCAGCCTGCCTCAGCCTCAGCCTCAGCCTCAGCCTCAGCCTCAGCCTTCAGCCTCAGCCTCAGTCTGCCTTCAGCCTCGGCCTCAGCCTCAGCCTGCCTCAGCCTCAGCCTGCATCAGCCTCAGCGTCAGCCTCAGCCTGCCTCAGCATCAGCCTGCCTCAGCCTCAGCCTCAGCCTGCCTCAGCCTCAGCCTCAGCCTGCTTCAGCCTCAGCCTCAGTCTGCCTTCAGCCTCGGCCTCAGCCTCAGCCTGCCTCAGCCTCAGCCTGCATCAGCCTCAGCCTCAGCCTCAGCCTGCCTGCCTCATCAGCCTCAGCCAGCCTCAGCCTCAGCCTCAGCCTGCCTCAGCCTCAGCCTCAGCCTGCTTCAGCCTCAGCCTCAGTCTGCCTTCAGCCTCGGCCTCAGCCTCAGCCTGCCTCAGCCTCAGCCTGCCTCAGCCTCAGCCTCAGCCTCAGCCTGCCTCAGCATCAGCCTGCCTGCCTCAGCCTCAGCCTCAGCCTCAGCTGCTCAGCCTCAGCCTGCCTTCAGCCTCAAGCCTCAATCTCAGCCTCAGCCTCACTGCCTCCTCAGCCTCAGCCTCAGCCTGCCTCAGCCTCAGCCTCAGCCTGCTGCCTCAGCCTCAGTCTGCCTTCAGCCTGGCCTCACAGCCTCAGCCTCAGCCTGCCTCAGCCTCAGCCTGCCTCAGCCTCAGCCTGCCTCAGCCTGCCTCAGCCTCGCCTCAGCCTGCTTCAGCCTCAGCCTCAGTCTGCCTTCAGCCTCGGCCTCAGCCTCAGCCTGCCTCAGCCTCAGCCTGCATCAGCCTCAGCCTCAGCCTCAGCCTGCCTCAGCATCAGCCTGCCTCAGCCTCAGCCTCAGCC